TAGGCCTGCACTACCAAGCTTTTCATAGTCCTTCAACTTCGTCTTCAATATTATGTTGACTAGTCTGGGTCTTCCATTTACAAACATTATTTTAATTTCTCCAACAATTCAAAAATAAGAAATAAGCAATATCCCCATGAACTTTGGGGACTTTGACTGTCCCCAAGGACTTTGACTCTCTTCTTCACAGCTTAGCCCCAAGAGTACTGAATGCCTAGTATGTATAGATAGTATCTTTGATTCTTTTCCTGTTGCTGTGATAGCATACTCTGACAAAAACAACTTAAAGGGGAAAGAGTTTATTCTGCCTCACAGTTGAAGGTACAGCCTTTATGTCAGGGAAGTCAAGGAGCTTGAAGTAGCTGGTCACACTGCAACCACAATCAAGAAAAAGAGAGAGCTGAATTTGTGCTTAGCTCTCCATTTCTTACAGTTCAGGATTCTTGCTCAGGGAATGGTGCCACTCATAGTGGGTAAGTCTTCTAACCTCAGTTAACTAGATCAAGATAATTCTCCATAGACTTACCAAAAATGCTAACCTCACCTAAACTCTCACAGGTGTGCTTGGAGGCTTGTCTCCTAGATAATTCTAGATCCTGTGAAGTACTAACCAACCAGTAGTCAAGGAAGGAAAAAAAGGAAGTAAAGAGAGAGAGGGGAGAGGAGGAGGACAGGGGAAGGAAGAAATTAAAGGAGGGAGGGAGGGAGGGACTGAGAGAAGAGGAGGGAAGGAGAGTGAGGGAAAGGGCAAAGGAGAGGGGAAAGTGAGAGAGAGGATAAGGGAGGACATGGGAAAGGAAGGAAGAGGAAGGAAGGCAGGGAGGGAGGGAGAGAGGAGCGGGGAGGAAGGGAGGGCTTAAATATCTAGTCAATCCATTTACAGTTAAGTCTCTTCCAATCAATCAAAACAAAAAACATACTATATCTCAAAGTAGTTTCTAGTCAAAGATAACAGGGTAGCAGATCACTACTTATTTTATTCATTCATTGAGTTAACATTGGTTCCTTCCCTTTCTCCTGTAAGTTACACATGCCTCTTAAAGTGCCTCCCTTAATAGTTGTTCAATCTTGTCATAAATTTCTAGATAATGACAGGGTCACAGATTGAATGCATCCTCCCAACCCAAATTCACTGTAGAAGCCCTAAGCCCCAGGGTGCACAGTTGTGTTGGAGACAAGGCCTCTAAGGAAGCAATTAAGGTTAAATGAGGTCATAAAGTAGAACCCTGGTCTGATGGGATTAACATCTTTATCAAAACAGCCACCAGAGAGCTTGCTTTCTCTTTCTCCAAGCCTCTTCAGAGGAAGGGCCCCAGGAGAGCACAGCAGTTCCCCAAGTCAGGAAAAGAGCCCTGACAAGACCTTCACCTAGAGCACCAAACCTCCAGAACTATGAGAAAATAAATTCTATTGTTTAAGCCAGTCAGTCTGTAGTATCTTTTTAAGGCAGCTGGAGCAGACAAATACAGTCAGATATCTAACCTGAAGGGCTAAAGATGAATCAACTTACCATGTACATGTTAGAATATTCAAGAAATAACATCTACATCAATTAATTTAGGCAATTAAATTATATTGGTTGAGTCCCCAGCTGAGTGAAGGGGACAAAGTACTCCTGTCTTTGTGGACTGAATGATGTTTGGGGTAGAAAAATATATACGTGTGCCAGCAGTAAATGATGACAAACAAATAATGTGGTAAACAGAAACCACAGGAGTTTAAAGACAGAAGAGCATTTTCTTTGTTCATTTCTTAATTTCAATTGCTGCTTCATGAAATTCCACAGTATTAGAGAGATATAATGAATTCACAAAATACATTCAGTGTGGCTACAGTTCGTAAAACGATGTGATGAATTAGTTCGTCCAAATCTTACAGATGAGATAATGCCTGGTGTGTTACTCATAGAAGAATGCCAGCTTCATTAAATCAGCCAAGGTTATACAACAAGACAAAGAATTTTTCTTTTCAGTGAATCCTAAATTCAAGTTAAGGCTGCTCATTACGAGAGGGTTATATAACAATGAAGCAAAAAATACTCACTGTAGCCCATGGTGGCCTGAGACTCATTATGTAGTCCAGGCTGACCTCAAACCCGCAATAGTCCTCCTACTTCAGCCTCCCACCTGCTGGGATTACAGGCAGGAACCACTAGGCCAGTTAGAATGTACATTGCTGAATAATGGAAGGTTAATGTGCTTTGTATTGCTGGTTGATTATAGCCACTAATGGATGTTTAGAATGCCCTAAAATCAAAAAGTCTGTGTAATCATAATATCTAAATCTTAAGTGTTTATAACAAAAGTACAAACACACACACACACACACACACACACACACACACACACACCGTACCCCACACTTACAAAATGACATTGTTCCTATCATCAAAATTATATTTTCAGTACTATCAAATTTTGTGCTTGAGGAAATTCCTACAGTTAGAAGAAATGAGTTTTGATTTTAAGAACAACCCATCTTTCAAACATGTTACAGAAACAACTCCTACCTCCTGCACTCCCAACATGCTCCCTGTCACCACACTTGGTCCATTCGGGCATAATCATCCAAACAGTATTTTCAAACAAAAATTACATAAATGTACTACTCGCTTACCAGAAAGGGATTCCTAGTACTTGGCCTCCACAGCCATTCAAAGTCCCATCATGGGGGATTTTCAGTGTCATCAGGCACCACTGTACCTGCACTTTCTGGGTTGCTGCTGAACTTCTCTCTGTTCCTTCACAGTGCATGGTTCTTTCCAGCAGAAGATCTTCCTCCATTCTTGCCCCGCCCCCCATCTCTGTTTGCCCAGTTGACTCTTGCACATTCTCCTACTCTCAGCTTAACATCACCTCCTTCACCACCCATTTGAAAGCAAGCTGCCAGTGTGCTTTCCTTGGGCCTCTGCTCCAGTGCCATCTACACTGACCACCCTGTTTCAAACCACCATCTCCCATCTCTAAACCATCACCTCTTCCCTTCTGCATCTCCCTAGCACTCAACAATTTCTAGGTACTACACACTGTATTTATTCTACATACTTATTGTCCTGTCTAGAATATAAGCCCAAGAGGGTAGGGAGTTCCATCTAGCTCACTCACTGCTGCTAGTTCCTTCAAGGCACTTGTCTGTGTTAAGGACTCACTGAAAGTCTGTCCCTCTCTGGACCTCAGTCCATCAGCATAGATTACTACATCTATTCTGTTCACTACTATGTAATCAGTGACTAGTGCAGTACCTAAACACATAGCAGGCAGGCAGTAAAGCTCGTCGCATAAACGATTCCTTAAATTGTGTGAGTCATTGGATTGCTGTGGTTCAGACTAGTCTTTAACACTGGCAATTATTTAATAGTCTGTTTAAAGATGGAATGGCAGGGGGGATGGCTGGAGAAATGGCTCAGAGGTTAAGAGCACTGACTGCTCTTGCAGAGGACCCAGGTTCTATCCCCAGCATCCACATGGTGGCTACAAACTATCCTTAACTCCATTTCCAGGGGAATCCAACACCCTCTTCTGACCTCCATGGCATTGCACAACATGGGTGCACTCACTTACATGCAGGTAATACAATCATACACATAAAATAAAAATAAAATATTTTTTTAAAGATCTGGGGACTGGAAAGATGGAATAGCACTGGCTTTTCTTGCAGAGGGCCTAGGTATGGTTCCCTGCACCCACATGGCAGCTAACAATCATCAGTTGCTCCAGTTCCAGGGAATCTGACACCCTCTTCTGGCCTCCACAGGCATCACATGACACTGGTGCACTTACATACAGGTAAAATACACACATAAAATTAAAATAAATAAAAAAGAAGTTTTTAAAGAAAAAGAGATATACTATCCCAAGTCACCCAGAAGCTTACAGTTTAATAGAGGAGGCAGACAATACAAAAGAAAACATTTTTTTAAATACCAATTGATAGGTAAACCCAAATTAGATAAATAGCCTAATATAGAAACAGCTGAGCCAAGACCCCTACCCACACAGCCCCCCCAAAAAACAGAGGGATAGAGGGAGCCAGATGCTTGGAAATCTGGAAGGAAAACCTTTCAGACAAAAGAGACAAGAAATATTAAATCTCCATGGTAGGAAACTGGGACTTTCTCTGGAAAGCTCCAATGATAGAGATGAGTGGGTGGGAAAGGTAAGGGCAGGTTGGATCTTTAGAGCCCAGGGACAGTGTAAGTTCCTCAATGTGTTCTAGAGGCAATGTCAATCAATAGACTTGAGCTAAGAGAAGATGATTGTCCACAAAGATTACCCTGACTGCTATGTGAAGGATCGATTTGAGACATAATGGCAGCCAGAAATAAAAAGGAAATGCTGGTTTGGACTGGAATGCCCAGAGTAGAAATGGGAGATAAAGTACAAATGAGAACGGTTCAAATAGGAATGAATATAGAATCTAGCCTGGGTATGCAATGTGCTCTCCTTGGTCTTTTCTTTTTTTTCCTTTAGGCAAGGTATCACCAGCTAGCCTTGAACTCAAAAAACCCTTAGCTCAGGCCCCACAAATGCTGACATAATAGTTATGCAACACCATGACCAGCCAGAAAGCACAAAGGTTTTCTTTGATTTTTTTTTCCTCCCCCACCCCTTGATCAGTTCCTGGTTCTTATTACCTGGCCATTAGCAGGGTAAGTCAGTTGATTCTTCCTCCACTTGCATCACTTTCTCTCCCTATTTCCAGTACACCAGGACCTTTCTTGTTTTCCTCCTCCCTCCCTGGCCACACCTTAGTTTCTACAGGTTGCTATTCCTGTCTCCTTGTCAATGGTGAAGCATCCCCTGGCTCTGGCCTTTACTTTCCTCCTCTCCTTTTATACTAACTCCTTCAGCTAATCAATCAGATACCATAATCCACATATCAATAATAGGCTGCTTAATGTGTATCTCTTCTGACTTCTAGCTTTGCCTGGATACTGAGTTATGACCCAATATGTCTAAATTAAACTCCATGTACTTCCCCCCAGCTGAGCATGCTCTCACCTCCATCATAAGGCCACACTTGTCATTGCTCCTGTGTGGTCCACTCTGCACAGAACGTTCCCATACCTCTTCAACGTTCTCAAAAGCCATTTTAAATTTTGCCTGGCCATACTCCCTGTCACCCCATTTTTCAACTGCAGCACTCATCCAGTATCCACTAGTCCTATACCCTGCTCTACTTTTCTCTCTCTGCCACTCCTTGTAAAATGTATTTGCTGTAGTGCTCTCTTATCCTCGGGGATGACTTCTAAGACCCTTAGTAGATGCATGAAGAGACAGTACTGAACAGTATATATACTATATTTTCTTCCTATTAGTTTATATACACTTCCACAATAATTTGACTTATAAATTAGATACAGTTAAGATATTAGCTATAATAAAGTAGAACAATTATAACAATATAAAAGTCATACAAATATGTTTCCCAAAACATCTTACCATATTATGGATCTTAGCCACCTAGGCATGCATTTTTTTTTCCTTTTCTTTTTGAAAACTTCCACTTTTTCATTTAAGGAAGGAACTTACATCTTCTTGGCACACCTGAATCACCAGCATTATTACTCTTGCACTTTGTGGTCATTATGAAGTAAAATAAGGGTTATTGAACACAAGCCCTGTGATACCATAAAAGTCAACTGATAATCATGATGGTTACTAAAGAATGAACAGGTGGAGACCACAGCATGGATAAAGTAAAAGGGGTTATTCAAATCATAGCTGGCAGAGAACAGTGTGGTTCAAGATTTCATCATACTACTTAGAGGGATATACAATGTAAAGAGTATGAACTGTTTATTTCTGGAACTTTCCATTTAATATTTTCAGGCTATTTGGTCATAGGTGGATGAAAGTGCAGAAAGAAAGCCCATAGGTATGGTATGCTGGGAATACTAGTCCATATTTGTTTAGTAGCTGAATGTACTCATAAAAACACAGGCTTCATGAGAATTAGGGAGCTTTACATCCACGGTTAACAATGTTCTCCTAGTTTCAAGAAAGGTACCCGCTATGTGCTAGGTGTTCAACAAATAGTTGAACAAATAGTTGTATGCCTGCATAATAAATATGTTTAAACTGTGTGTTCGCATTAAATGCTTGAACAAAAAACTAGTCTGGTATTAGTTACTGCTTGCCTACACCTGTAACTATTCACTTTGCAATGTATTTGACCAAGAAAAATAGTAACACAGACAAGCGAATCACAAATACAGCTTGTGGCTCATAGAAATAAGATGGTGAAAGAAACGAACCAAAAAAAAAAAAAAAAAAGAAAGAAAGAAAAAGAAAGGCAATCGGATGTGCAGAATGAGCCACGAAGTCAAAAAAAAAAAGTCTTTGTAATCCCGATGTAAAAAAAAAAAAAAAAAAAAAGAATAACATGCACATGTTCACAAGGTGATAGATTTGATGGCATCAAGATCTAACTTCTTCAAGAACCTAAGCCTCCTCAAACTTAAGTCTTTTGTCTCCGTATCTCTACAGAACAGAAAAGTTGTGTAACACGAGTGAGCCAAAAGAGGTCAAGAGAAGGCTGAGACCATACGGTGACCTATGTAGCATTTCTGTGACGCTTTTTATTTTGCTCTGAGAGGGAAGATAAAACAAGAACCAGGAATTAAGGATGGTAATAGTGACGAATCTCCACTTCCCGCGCTTGCGTCTCCAGGACTTGCACCAGGCCCGGGCTCCACACGCTGCCCCAAGCCGAGCAGCCTCATATGGTCCTCACAGCATCTCCTGGGGCCCTCCCCAGCGTTCCTCCCGCTTACCACCGCCGATGGAACTCATGTTTCTGTTCCTCCGTGGTGGCTAGAGCCTTCTTCGTCTTCATAAAGCCTAAAAGCTCCCGTATCTCCTTCTCGCAGGAGGCTAGGAGCGGGTTTTTAGCGTCCAAAGGCCCGTAGAAGGCGGCGGCGGGCAGCGAATCCTCGGAGCAGACCCAGTGCAGCGGCGCGCCGGTCGAGCTCGCCTTCGATTCGGACGGCGACTTCGCAACCGCCGCGGAAGTCGGCGTCGGCGTCGGGGGCAGCTCCAGCGGCGACACCGACGTCTCTGTAGACTCATCGGACGCCGAGCTGGACTTCACGTCTGGCGACGCCATGTCGGTGGGATCCTGGCCTCCGGGAGCGTGTGTACACGCAGTCGCCTGGCAACGGTCTCGTGGCAACCAAGCCAACCGCATGCTACCCCGGAAACACAGCGATCCCTGGAGGACAAGGAAGAAGGAACCGCCCAGATAGGCATGATGCTCAAAAAAGACTATTTACACACACACACACACACACACACACACACACACACACACACACACACACACATACACAAAACCATATAAACAAATAAGCAAATAAACAAATGCAAAGAAAAGGTAAAGTCCATTAATGTTCTGTAGTCCCCTGGCACTAATGTATAACGTGCCAACACGAGCACCTTGTTTCTTTTTGTTTGGTTCGGGAAGTTGTTTTTGGTTTTAGATAGGTCTCTTTATGTAGCCCACGCTGACCTCGAACTCACTATCCTCCTGCCTCGGCCTCCTGAGTGTGGGATTACAGGCATGCACAAGCAAAGCAGCTCTAGAAAGTAAATACTAGAGCCCCAAAATTACCATCACAAATCTAGACATACTATTTTTCTATTTGACTGCTTCTTGTGAATCGCCGAGCCCTGGCGACGGTGGTTGGAGTCAAGCATTGCTCTATGCCTCTAAAACACCACTTTTCTCATTTAAGCATCACGATTTCGCACCTTATCTACTTTTCATATCTCCACTGTTTCTCAGCTTAAGAAACTACTTTAGGGAGGTCATAAATCATTTGAACAGGGTTAGAAAGCAAGCCGCAGTGGCAGAGGTCAGGGTCCTAGTTTGCGCTCCAACACAGGTGCTTAGAAAGAATAAACCGTATCGATGATGCCCCCAAATGAAGCTTATTAATCAAACTGAAATTAGCGAAGTCTCTGACAAGCAGTTTAAGAATGACACACCCATGACCGCTACATTCTTTTCCCTCTTTTTGCATTTTCAGATCCATAACTGTGGGGTAGATGTCTGTGCCGCTAATAATCATGATCATTTTTATTTACTTATACTCCAGCCTTATCCTAAATATCACTGTATTCTAAATTAGTGTGCATTTTACTCAACTTTAACTCTTTGACATTAACACATGCTAATGATTTAAAGTGTTAACTCTCAAAATACTTCTGCATTTTAAAAATATTTTATTATTTTTATTTTACATGTATGAGTGTTATGCCTGCATGTAAGTAAAGTGTACCCATGTCATGCAATGCCCACAGAGGACAGAAGAGGCTGTGGGATCCCCTGGAACTGAAGTTACAGACAGTTGTTAGCTGCCATGTAGGTGCTGAGATTCGAACCCAGCCAGTGTTCTTAACTGCTGAACCATCTCTCCAGCCCCCATACTTCTGCATTTTTAAGTAGGGATCTTATGAGATTTTTACTTCTAATAGGATAAACTATAGGCCTCAAGGGAAATGTCTGATACCAGGAAAAGTTCTTTCCCTTCTTTTCATGGGCCACATCTAGAGTCAAATGTGTTAATTTAGGATCTGAGCTTCAACTAGGGGGCCTACTTTTGTTTATAAACTATTCAATGACAAAAATCATGAAAAAACGAGAAACGTGTGACAGCTTCAAAAACTAGGTCTTTAACACTGAACACTGTTACCAGTTTTTTCACACTTAAAAATACAGGTGATGGAGAGATGGCTCAGTGATTAAGAGCACTGGCTGCTCTTGCAGAAGACCCAGGTTCAGTTCCCAGCACCCAGATGGTGACTAACAACCGTCCTTAACTCCAAACCCATGGGCTCCAATGCCCTCTTCTGTCCCCCATGGGCATTGCAGGCCATGGGTGCACCATACACATGCAGGCAAAAGACTTCTTCACATAAAATTAAATAAATAAAATTTTAAAAATTAAAAATACAAGCCGGGCATGGTGGTGCATGCCTTTAGTCCCAGCACTCTGGAGGTAGAGGCAGGCAGATCTTTGTGAGTTCAAGACCAGCCTGGTCTACAGAGCAAATTCCAGGCCAGCTGGGGCTACAGGGAAACCAAGTCTCCAAAAAGACAAAAAAAAAAATTAAAAATACAGGTGACAGCCATTTAATATTAATAAGCTTATTAATTCGCAGTCTTATTTCTTTCAGTCCTCACCTAATATCTTGTAGGGTTTGTGGGCCAGTACTAATTTATAAAGCCAACCTAATAAGTCCTATGTACTGTACCCCAATATTCTTTGAAGGAAGTGTGGCAGTGAGGTTGCTGCCTGAGGCAGGTAATTATGGCCGAAGGAGCTTCTAGGTAATCTGTGAAATGCAAGAACACCTCACTGTCAGCGTCCAATTCTCCAATCAAGATGCAGACTCCATCCTTTGATTCACAAAAATTTTATCTTCTCTGAAGGTGGGCAGTAAAAACTTTTAAAACTTTAAAGAATTTAGACCAAAGGAGGGAAATGTACGCATGAAGTGGCTACCAAAAAATATTAATAGATTCTTTTTAAAAATTGACTGTAAATTCTCATTTTTTCCCTTGTTTTCACATAGCAGGCATGTCCACTTCAGATCAAAAGCCTGTGCAATTTGCCACTCAGAGTGATCTATTATAGTGATGAAAGTGAAACAGCAGGATTCAATTAAATTAAAGTGGCCAAAGAAGAGGAAAGAAAATTTAAAAAACCAAGTAGGCTTTCTCCTTTCCTGGCTTGGCTGCTATTTTGTAAACGACCTTTCTCATACTGTACAGATTTCAAAGTCACTGGTAAAAGAAAATGTGAGTAATTAAATTCAAATACTTGAATTATGAAACATTGCATCTTAGTCATCTTTCCTTCTTGCACACACTTCAGTTAACAATGCCTCACTTGCAGTGGTTTTTGGAAACTTGTCTGAATATTTTAATGGTGTTATATTCTGAATCACCATTATAGCAAGATGGAAGTTTCCATTTTGTTCCGTCTAAATTATATTTGAGAGGGTTTTTAAGAACATTTTAGAGATGTTATTTTCTTTTAATGAGATGCAGTCATTACAATATCTTTTCTTTTTCCATGTCACTTCTCTTTATTCTTCTCCCTGTAATGAAAGAACGGAGCAAGGCATCTACTGTGTCTGACAGGGCTAAGCAATGTAAATAGCTTCCTCATAAATAATGTAAATCGCTGCTACTTATAATCAATGCCTTTGCGGGCTGTAGAGATTCTTTCCACTCATTCAGGAGTCTTTTCTTTCTAAAGTTACATCAGGGAAATAATAAATAATGTCAGTGTTTTTTCTATTAGTAATTTAGCTATTAATCACTTGAAATGTCCCACACAGACATGTATGGTCCTTACAGAAATCTCCCTTTCCCACCTCCAGCTAATACATTGGTTTAAGTTTGTTGTCATTTTTCCACCCATTCATTCAATTATGTGCACCGGTTTCTTTGCGTGTCCATACAGTTTACAGATGAGCACACACATTCCCTATGAGAAGTAGGTGACATCATCAGCAACTAGCCACAGTGAAAAGGCACACTGGGGAATGTGTAGTGATAAGGTCTAGAGGTGTTATAGAAGTCCCAAGATGCAGCTTGGGACTGGGGAGGGAACTAAGGAGTGCCATGGAGGTGATGGCTTAGCTCTGGACTGGATCTAGGACTCATTAGCAGAAAGATCCTAGCAACAGAGCTTTGCCTGTTCTCTGTGGTTACCTAGCACCAGGACAAGAAGCACATGATGAGGTAGAAGGGGAACATGATCAAACAGCAAGTAGCTGGAAGACTGTGATCAGAAATTTTTGTTTTGTATTCAGTGGAGCTCCTTGGCTAGAAAAAGCATGTAGACTCTCTCCAACCGATGATGGTTTGACTTAAGGATTTTTCAGCTTTACATTGGTGGAAAAGCATACCCATATGATGGTTTTGATGGTCGTTTTCAGTACTGTAGTCAGTAAATCACATGAGTTATACAACACATTGTAAAACAGATTTTGAAGGGAGTTGACTTTGCCCAACTATCAGCTAATGTAAGTGTTCTGAGCACACCTACGGTGCTAAGAGTGCTAAATGCATTTTTACCTTATGCCAGCTTCAACTTGTCACAGGCTTATCAAATGTAAGCCATAAGTCAATGGCTATCTGTATAATGTGGAAATTAAAGGCCCAGGGAGCTGGGAGATGGCTCAAGTTAGTAAAGTCCCTACTGTAAAAGTATGGGAGCCAATCCAGATCCTTAACACCCAAGTAGAAACTGAGTGTGGTCACACACATCCCTAACTAGCACTCAGGGGAGGATTCCTAGAGCCCTCTGACCAGCCAGTTTAGCCAATTAGTAAGATATGAGCTCAGTGAGAGACCCTGTCTCAAAAGATAAGATGGAAAGCAGTAGTGGAAGACACCCATCGTCAACTTCTGACCTCCACAGGCACATTTACACACACACAAACACACATACACAGTTCAAATTATGGGACCAGAAAGTATGATTTGAATCCTTAATTCTTCCAATGTACTTAACTTCATTGTGCCTTGTTTTGTTCATCTCTAAGACCTCACAGTCCGTTTTGTTTAGAATGAATTAATTAAAACATGTAAACCCCATAAAACAGTGGCAGCCACATAGGACATGCTATGCAAATGCTTGCTATTTAGAATAATTTAGTTGGGAATCATGGAACATCCCTAAGAAGAGAAGTATACGACCCAGTTTGCATTTTATATACTTAAGAAGGACATTCTTATAGCAGAATTAAAGATAGACTGAAGATTACATCTTAAGCCCCACAGATCATTACAATAATTATATAGTCAACAGACAGAGAAGAAGTCAAACTAAAAACACGAGTAGACACTGAAGTAGAATCAGGAGGAAACAAGATCCTTACCAACAAAGCAAAGAGAGGTTCAGAGAGTACCTTGTAATTTATATAAGAACTATATTATACTATATATGAGTGTAAGAATAGTAAAAATTCTAATAGAGTGTATTTATGGTCTTGAACAAGAAGCTGTCCTAAAATCTACAAAAGTAAAAGACAGAAAGATAAATACTGATTAACTTGAATACAGCAGATAAATATTTAGAAGGATGAAACATACCCAAACAAAAGTACAATAACAAGCCACCCACTGAGAAA